AAAGGACACATACAAATTGCTAAGAAATGGCCCTAGACATATTGAAAGTTTCAAACATAGTTTTTTTAAGTTGGGCCTTTAACTACAAAGTCAGTATTGAGACTACATAGCAATGAGACATACAGTTTAATAGAGAAAGTGCCCCAATTAAGGTTCATTTAGTGATGACATTTTTTAGAATGCAAAGTCCATTTTATGAGGGGAAGGGGCTGATCACAGCAAGGAAGTTTTAGACTAAAGTACTTTGGGGACCACTATTTTATAATGTACATATTATGATTCAGAGGGTGCGTTTACTCCTGCTTTTGTTTTTGTGCAGATGTCATGCTTCCCAAAGGAAACATCAGTGAAGTTAACGGTGCAAGTGCTAATATAGAAGAGTAGGGAGAGAAACAGGTCATACTAGTACATATATGAGAACTGAAGTACTTCTGATATTAACTGCTGATAGGACTATCTTCTGAGATGTAACACAGTGCCATCTGGCAGAAGTTTATTGATGTCAAAGAGGGACATACAGAAGTATCTTCATGGTTGAAGAGATTGGAAGCATGCAGCAACCAGAGTATTCTGTTTGCTTTGTTTGCTCTGTTTATTTTTTGATCTTGAGGATGGGGGCAGTGTGTTGCTTCAAAACAGTGATAAACTTCTACCAGACAGCCCTGCATTCCATCTGAGGAGATAGTTACTGTCAGAAGAATCCAGTTCTAGGATGTAATTCTGTTTTGATACTGTTTCCAGGTCGAATATTGAATCGCTTCACAAATGATATGGGTACTGTTGATGAAAGCCTCCCACTCACCTTGCTTGACTGTGTTCAGGTAAGCTGCAAGTTTTCTTGTTTAAGCTTGGGAAGAAATGAAGTTCCCAGGTAAGGTTCATGAGTGAGACCACATGTAGCATAGTCTTATTTCCTTCAGTGGTGACTCACTGGCTCACTAAGGGAAATGAGATATTGAACTTTCAGCAGTTTTCAGCAGATTGGCAGAGAGAAGTTCTGAGGCTTTCCCTTTTCTGTGTTCTCCTGTGTCATCTGGCACTGTGTTTCTTGCTGTCCTGAGGCAAAGGAAAGAAGTCTTACCCATGAGCTGTTGCTTTTCTGCATGCTATCTGCCTGCACAAGTGGTGGCAGTGTTAACCTGTTCTAGCAGCAAGTGCTTTAACCTGGATGGTGTGGCTAGGAGGGGCTCAAGAGGCAGAAGGGTGTGCTTCCAATTCCTCCCACTTCACCATCCATGGCTTCGATATAATAGAGGTTATCACTTCCATCAGAATCCTGGGGCATACAAGGGAGTATGCTGGAGAACACAAGCTAATGAACTTGAAGGATACATGGAAGTACTTCTTTCTCTGGCCTCAGCATAGTGGTGTAATGCCCCCCCCCCTTTTTTTTTGTTGAATTTTGCTATCCTTGAGCAGGTAGTTGGTTTGTGTACACACTCACATGGCTGAATATGATGGTGAGAAGTGTAATGCATTCTCTTGGAGCTGAATCAGCAATTCATTCCAGACTGCTGTAAGTAGATTAGCATGTGGTAATGCCTGGTCTGTGTGACAGATGCTGCTGGCAATGTTGATTCTAGGCCATGCAGTATCTTTCACTTCTATCTGACGTTGCTAGCGGCAAGGTTGGAAGTCGGCAGTGTCCTACCAGTTTTTTAAAATAATGTAATCATAGTGCTGAAGGGAACTTCTAAGCAAACCAATTAAAGACGGTCCTCTATGCTCTTGTAATTGGAGGTAAGCACAGTTCAACTGAACTCAAAGCTTGAATGCGTAGTAGAAAACATATTTAGGCAGTGTAAAGTAGCATGCAGGCTAACACATGAAAGAGCATTTTGATAGTGATCTTGCTGTAAGCAGTTAGGTTTTCTTATTATGTATAAAGCATTCACTTTGTATATAGTCATAGTTTACTGTAGTAGGAGACTTCTAGTTTAGTTCCCACGGTGTGAACACCTGTGAGTGTACTACAAGTTTCCCTCTGTTGTTCCATTCCGTGTCCGATATTGCTAGCTGTAGTAATCAGTAGACATGTCAGAATACAATATATACAGTTATGTATGCATTGTAACTGCCGGGATATTGCAGGGAGAGTTGCTGCATGAAGTCACCTATGATGGTTATGTTGCAGCTGCCAATCCAGACAGGAATCCCTGAAGAACCTGAAAGAGGAGTAGGAAAGGTTAACCCATGTAATGGTGACTGCAGTGTCTTTTCCAGGCACTCCGAATGAATCAGAGCAAAGGGGACTGGTTACCAAAATGTTGGCATCTGCCATTAGTATTACATCAGGCCAAAGCCTGATGTTACAGTGGTAACAGAATTCAGCTCCCTGTTACTACATTGGTAGTGACCTTACTGGCAGCCCAGCAGGCAATCGGGCCTCAGAACTCTTCACTGCATAAATGGAAACATCTTGTTACCCTCTGCTAGACATAAATACACAGCAGTAGCAAACTTTTAATTGGCATCCAGTAATTTAGGATTAGAGATTTGATTATTTCATAAACTGGTGGGTTGGCAGCAGTGACTGGTTTTCAGCCTGGCCTTCAGTGGCATATAGTCCTCCTCAGCTGAAGCCATTCATTTTTGAGTGTACAGTTGTTTCTCCATGAATATTGTGGTTATTCTTCCCCTCCATCAAGGACATGCTCAAAAGGCCACTGGCTAGTGGGAGGGTTAAAGAAAGCATCTTGCACAGATGTGAAGAAGATGGTGGAGTCATGAAGCTGGAGAACAGTGCTTCTATGAAATAATGTAATGTACTGTAATGTATATTTCAATAGTGGCATTCGATAGTTATTGAATTATTGTGTTAGGTTACTGCATTGTGTACACATACAATTCAAATGACTTTAGTGAAGCATTACTTTCTTACTTTGAACAGATTGGGTTGTCGCTTCTGGCTGTGGTTATTGTTGTATCAGTTGTGAATGTCTGGCTGCTCATCCCCACAACATTCATGTTTATTATGTTCTATGCACTAAGACAGTATTACTTGTCAACATCACGGAGTCTTAAGAGACTTGAAGCAATCAGTAAGTATTCTGTATTTTTTAGTTTAATTCTTTGAGCACAGAAACACACAAAATGTGGAAGTAATGGACTATGAGCACAGAACTGAAGGTAGAACAAGACATGTAGTATTTTCTACAAGTGGTGAGTTTTCTTTAGAAGATTTGTTTGCCAGTAAATGGCAGATTTATACTGTAACTTACAGAGAGGAATTTAATAAGGGAATATTATGGTGTGTCATGCAGAACTCACTTTCAAGAGAGTCTAAATATATAGAGTGAGTGCCCCCTCGCATTTAATGGTTTTTAGTTGAGCAGTTTAGCACTGAACTAAGGAACATATGAACTGGAGAAAATTGAACACCGAAATAATTGACTTAGAAGGTTTGAAATGGAACATGAAATGAGGGAAAACATTAAATCAGGGACCATCAGTTGGAGGTTTGACTGTAAAGGCGAGGGCACACCAAGGAAACTGACAACTGCAATACAGCCGCAATTTCTGAGAAGAATTGCCGATTTCAAGCAGGCAGCTGGTCTCCAGATTAGCAGGTGCACACTGAGGAAACGTATGTTTGATTAGTTGCTCACATCATCACAAATGGATATGTTTGTCTGCCAATTTTGTGCACTTCTTTAAATCGTTGAAGCATCTGTTACCCTTCACAGTTTCATCAGAACCTGGGAAGGGCTGTTTTGTGAAGGAGCTGAAAATTATGCAGTCAATCAAGTCATCACATTTTAATGGAGGGCAGAGATTGTCAAGGGCACAGCACCTGTGAAATTGGCTGGTTGATTATTTCTTAACACCTGTAGGAGCAATTCCATCTCAGTGGAGTTATATTAATTGAATTCAACTGATAATTATAGAGGATGAGGACTAACCTAATCAGAAATAACAATAGGTACACAGGCATCGTAAATCAGAATAACAGCCCACTCTAAAATACTATGTGTAGCAGTGCCAATACCAGCCATCCTATGTTGCTGATGCATGTGCATGTGTGAGCTTAATTTTTTAAATAATCATTTCTCTTAAAAATTAGATTTGGCTTTTCTCGATCTTGTGTTAAAACAAATTTCAATATTTATACCAGATTTCTATAAAAGCAAGTTTGTGATTTGTATTGTGAATGTTATGGTAATTTTTGAAGATTTCTGTAAGGGTAAAATTGTGTAAGAAGGGGGTGCACTGTATTTAAATAAATAATGCCTCTAGAAAAAGTAATTGCACAGTAGGACATTTTGGCATCTGGTCTTTGCTCACAGAAATATATGCGTTGAATATGTAAATGCCATAAAGAGAATAAAAAATTTTGATGAATGCAAATGTGAGCTTGGTTTAAAAGTAAACATAGAGATAACTAAATACATGTTCAGGTTTCATTACTGAAAGGCAGGACAACACTGTAACATAGAGGAGCCAATAAATCCTGCAGAAATATTGGAAACTTGTGTGATTGATGGTATTATGAAGCCTCTTTCTTTCCACATGGCAGTTATAGTAGTGTGAGTAATGAATAGTGGAAACATACATGGAAAACTATCAAAAGTATGTAATTGACCTAACTCCATGGAGCAGAGTCCTCATGTAGAAGCTGATAGTCTCTCAGCTCTTCAAGGAACTCCCTGTGTTTTATGAAACCTTTGGGTTCATTACTGTATTCACGAGAGCATGTCATTGCTCCCTAACCTGAACCAAGTGAATCAATTCCACACCCTCACACCATAGTTCTTTAAGATTCATATTAATATTATCCCCATCTACACCTAAGTCTCCCAAGTGGTATTTTCTCTTCAGGTTTTGTGGCCAAAATTGTTTCTGTATTTTTAATCCCTACCATCCATGCTACATGTCCTCCTTGAATTGATCGCCCTAGTAGTTGCCAGACAGTAGAGCTTATGAAGCTTGTCACTGTGCAGTTTTTCCTGGCCTCCTGTTACCTCCTGTCCCTCAGGCTGAACTGATTGCAAAGTGTGAAATATATTGAAACAAGTCTGTGTGCAGCATTTTGTGATGTGATCCCTTGGTTGAATCACATGTTCCTCTTCCTCAGCCCGGAGCCCTGTGTTCTCTCATCTCAGTGCATCCCTGCAAGGTCTGACCACGATACGAGCTTCTGGGGCGCAGGCCCTATTGGAGAAGGAGTTTGACAGTCTTCAGGTGGGTTCATCAGCCTGATTTCTCAATGTCAGTTTTGTTCAGGATTCATATTGTTCAGACAGAAGGAATTTACTTTCTAGGTTCAGTTTTTTGTCAGTAATGTTCATATATTCTGCTATTACTGGAACCTGGGTGCATCAATTTTAGGTCCCTTACTTTTTCTTCTCTGCATAAATGATCTANCAGTCAGGAACATTTGCTGTTGTATCATCGGTAGAAACTTGTAGATTCTTTTTCAAACACACTTCTGGTGTTTGTATGCCAGTGGGAAATTGAAACTTGTAGGGTTAATACTTTTCTCAATAGTGGCAGTGGGTGTGCGTGTGGCTGAAGTAAATGCACTGTATGTATAAAATAGTATGAAATTATATTAATACAGTAGAACTTGGTTATAATGTCATCAAAGGGACCTAAAAATAGTGTCGTTATAAACGAATGTCGTTGTAACCGAAATGGGCACTTCCACAGTAGCCTTATGTTAGTCACATAAAAATCTACCAAAAACCGAGTTAAAATGTTGCATTTTTTAGTGAAATACATAGTTAAGTACAGACAAACGTAACATTAACGTCGAATTGCCCAAATGTATAATATCAAAGACATATTACAGCGCTCTTCACTGAAAATACACACAATATTTCATGAATCAATTTAACTTTCTCTTCAATGCTTAAAACTTTCCTTTTTATTGCCATGTTTTCGCTACTGCACTTCTCTGGGTTTAGGCAGGAACACTATAGGGTAAGTAGACAATGTGAGGTCCTGTTAGACGAGATTCTAGGAAAGGAATGCAGTTAACAACCTGCCACGTCCTCTTGCACCATTCACGCAGTCTCATCCCACACCCTTGTTTTCGCATAAAACCCACGCTCCTCTTGCAGCCTGCGGTCGTATTCTTCCAGGACAGTCACGTCAGCAAGTAGAGAAAGTGAGGGTGGGCAGACACATCGAACTTTCCCACGATATCAGAGAAATTCAGGAATGAAAATGACGTTACATATGAGGTTGATGCATTTGTGCATGTCGTACTAAGTAAGGTATAAAAACAGTTGCTTTATGAGGAATTAGTTTGTACCATTGTATATTTGACGCAATAGACAAGGTGTCACAGTAACCGATGTTGCTATAACCAAGTTTTACTGTATATTGGTATTGCATTTATTTGGAATAATTGTATTGATATTTAGCTAGAAATGTTAGTTTTCTGATATGTTCAACTCCATTTTGCAGTACTGATCCATTGTGACTTCTCAGAACTTTGCTTGCTCAGGTATGCCAATTTCTGAAAGTCTATAAATTCCACCACAAAGTTCTTTTGCTTTTAGTGTTGGTAGGGTGGGTGCTTCATTTTGTGTCATCAACTCCAGATGACATGTGATCTCATGATATGATACCCTAGTAGTGCCATTATCTGTAGCACTTAGTCAGTTGCAAAAAAACTTTTAATTATTAAGATGTAAATACATAAGCTTGTTTGTCCTTCTGCTTAGCTGTTACTGTCTAATTCTTTTTTAAATACACTTAGTGTGGGGTGGGGTCTCCAACTGGGTCCACTCGGCACAGCGACCACTGATTGGCCTATTGTAGCCTGCCCTGGGTGATTATGATGATGGAGAATTTGGTGGAATGAAGATTGGCAGGGGAAACCGAAGTACTTATAGAAAACCAGCCCCAACGCAACTTTGTCCACCACAAATCCCACTTAACCAGACCAGGGATCGAACCCGGGCCGCTGCGGTGGGAAGCCAGCGACTAACTGCTTGAGCTATGATGTGGCCTGTTACTGTCTAATTATAATAATAGTCAGCAACCAGTGTCATAAGACATCACATCCTTCCCATAACCTTCCTCATTCAAAAACGTTTGTCCTGTCTGTTTACACATTACTCCTGTGTGATATAAGAACCCACACTGTGCTGTGTTGATGAACTACTCAAAATTTTCTTTGTGGTGCATGAGAGAGATGACTGGCCCCTATAGACATGAATAGGATATATGCTCGTACTTGTTGTGACATGTAGACCCATTGCTTGGCAGCAACTGCGAGATAGAGGGTTGTACAGCACACACAGGGAGGTAGGGGTGGAAGGGGGAGAGAGGTATGTAAAGATGCACTTTTTTTGCTTTTTTCTTTATAAGACAGTATATGACTGCATTAATTACAGATATAATTATGTTAAGGGTTTGATTGGTTAACCTATTAATGGTGGTCTAGAGGAGTGTCATATGGGATACTTTGTTGAACACACACAACTATTCATGTGTAAGGTTGCCTACATGACATATGCAGATCTGGGTTCAAGGACTGACCAAGAATACCATCAGGCCCTGAGTTTTACTGCTTCACCAGTTACTTACAGAACTTACGAACCATATATCACTCCATTACATTTTATTTTTCTAAAATTAATTGCCTCTTAACTAAGTAAACAACAGGAGAAAGAGATTTTCTGTGCCATTTTTGTAGGTCTCTGTTTACTTTATAAATGTTAGGCATTGTGGATACTCCATCAGTACATTCACAAAATGCTCACAGTGAAAGATTTACAAAGTTGTGGTAAGAGAAACTTTTTTATGTTTTTAGGACATGCATTCTTCTGTGTGGTATATCTACATAGCATCAAACAGAGCATTTGGCCTCTGGCTGGACGTTGTCTGCTCGGTTTACATAGGCCTTGTTACCCTGAGCTTTCTTATTGTGGGTGGAAGTACGTAAGCTGTTTGCAGAGATTCTTCACTTACTAATATCTTCATTTCATTGTACATGATTTCTTTTCATATATGACCGTATATGTTGATATCTGTTATCAGTATATGTAGGTACAAATTTCAAGGTATGCCAATTTGTCAGGAGTGTTTATTTACCCGAAATTATTTCACTTTTTATTATTATTATTATTATTTTTTTCCCCAGGGTTTTTTTTTCCGATTTTAAAGTGAACCCCAGTTTTTGGATGAAAATGAAAGTTGAAAACTGTAGACATGTAGTTGAGTGCATACGCTTGTGTTTTCATGTGTGAATAAAATGGAAGACTGCTGAGAAGCCAAAAATTCATAAATTGAAAGTGATATGTCCATTACTTTAAATGGTAAAAATTACTGACTTGTTCACAAGTCCCAAAAAAATCCCACAATATTTTTAATGAACATTTTAGTTATCAGTAAGTGTTAAAATAGAGACAGTGTTACTTGTTTACAGTATTTATTGTTGCAAATAAAATTGTATTGGTTTATTCACTTTCATTTTCTCATAGCAGATGGAATACAATGATGGAGCTTATAGCCAAACTTACTGCTTCCCTTACTTTCTCTGGCTTCTCAGCACCTCTTGAAATTACTTTCACTTGTTTGGGAGCCATGATGGGCAAAAGTAACACAGCTATATGATCTATATGATCACAGTGAGGCATGCAGACAGACTGTGGAAGTGGGAGGTACATCAGTGGGAATGTTTGCTTCTCCCCACCTCCTCATATTCTGTCTATATATTTCTCTGCCTTCACGACATAACTTATTGTGTATGTAAGCCATTTATCATATCAAAAATGAAGTTGGATAAGTGAGAAATAGGTACAAATTAACATGCTTCGTTTAGTCAGTGTTTGTAAAACAATGGATATGTATCCTCAGCAGCCAATAAAATAACTGTTTGAGCAAGAATACAAGAGAAAAAGATATGAAAATTGCAATATAGAACTGAACAAGAGCAAAGCATCAACCACTTGATGTGTTTACTGTGTGTGCCTCCTGCTTTTCGCCACATGATGATTTTGTGTGCTTAATGTGGTTCTCACAATAAACAGCAGTTATATCTGTAAACAGCATTAACTGGTTGGTCTATATTATGGAGATGCAGTATGTTTTCCATGAGGTGGCAACTGAATTATATATTCAGATGAGAGTGTTGCATGGTTGCAGAGCAGTACGGAGGAGATGTGGGCCTTGCCATTACCCAGGCAATGATGCTGACTGGGATGCTGCAGTGGGGTGTTCGTCAGTCAGCCGAGATGGAGAACCAGATGACCTCAGTGGAGCGTGTGTTGGAGTACACAGAAGTGGAAAAGGAGCCCCCTCTGGAATCACCTCATGGTATGTTCACAAGAAGGGCTTTATCCTTTTGATATGAATTACGTATGGCACATATTTACTGTTATGAGGGTCCAAAAAATACATGCATTTAAACACATGGCGTGGTTACTTACAAATAAGATGTTTTTTTATATTTAATCCTCTCACTTGTAATTGTAATTGTAATCACTTCTCTGTGTTTTCTGCTGCTTTTTCACACTGCATCTTCTTTGTGGTTCAGTCAGGTATCTCATTTAATAGAAGAATCTGAAGGAGGCATTTCATTATTGGATCTGAAATCGGTTGAAAATCACCAAAATAAGAGGACATTTAATTGCACTCTTGCCTTTATAGAATGATATGATAATGATGCTGCATGACACTTCAGGAACACATTGTGCTGATAGAGTGCTGCAAGCACCGATTGCAAGTAGCACTAATTCTGCCAGGAGGTAGATCTGTGAACAGTAGTCCCTCTATCATAAGATGTCATAACTTTTGTCAAAAATGCTTATTTAGAAGAGCTTCTTGGAACCTGTATTTATCACTGTTGGATGTTACAGTGGACTGAGAGTATGGGCAAGGCAGAGCCCCAGGCTTGTAACATACAGTAAACCCTCACTAGTCCAGTTACAGTTGATCCGGATGTGGGATAATCCAGATTGAAAGACGCATAGCATTTAGGAAGGCTGATGAATCACTTGTTTGTTGATAAAAATTCTTGATGGTTTCTTTAAACCTACATTATTATGTTCAAAACCAAGCACATTTCTGAATCTTCTGTCAGTGAGTAAATGTACTGTTTAATTTGTTTCATTCTGGTCCATCACACTAATATTATGAAAAAGTTAAATGGTTCTGTCCAGTGTGACTGGTTAATCTTAACCAGTCACACTGGACAGAACTATTTAACTTTTTCAAAATGTACTGTCTTTTTATAGTTCCTAAATCAAGTCTGTACAGTGACATTCTGTTATCTATTTTCATCAGCATTACTTATATCATTAAATTTTTCCATTTATTTGTCTTCTGAGTTTTTCTTTATGGTCTTTTAGGGCTGCCTTTAGCATCAGTAATCTGGATTATCACTTAATCCAGATGACCTCCCCCAAATTAATCTTGAGTAGTGAAGGTTTACTGTAATTGTAATGTCTTCCTACATATCTGGGCTATTTTATAGGGTAAACTGTTTTGAGAGCCCTTACACCTTTTAGTAGGATGACCTGAAAAGAGGAAATCACTTGAGAGACCCTAGCACAGACAGGAGGACAGTATTAAAATGGATCTTAAATAAGGTGTGAGAAGTGGACTCATCTGGTTTAGGATAGGAACCGTGGTGAGCTCTGGCAAACACAATATTGAACCTTCAGGTTTGTGGAAGTTGGGTAAGATCTTTACTAGTGGAGCAGCCGTTCCCTTCTCAAGAACACACATGTGATGCAATGAAGTAGTCAGTCATTATAAAGGTTAGCTCTTAAGGAACTTCTAATGAAGTAGGAGGCTTGAAGTTTGCTTGTGAAGCACCAAACAGCATTGTTGCCCTTGTTCTTAATCAGTGGTGAAGATGAAGGTGCTATTTTGCTTCGAAATGTTGATTGACTTTTGTGGGACTACCCAGTACTGCATCTCGCAAAATAGAATCTCTTTAAGATGATTCTCTCTTTAGCAACCAAAATCTGATTTTTTTTGTGTGTGTGTGTTATGTATTTTGTTTTACAGATAGGAAGCCACCTGACAGCTGGCCGTCACAAGGTGTAATTGTGTTCGACCGAATTTTCCTTGCTTACTCTAAGAATGAGGCTTCAGTGTTGAAGAATATCAGTTTTGTTATCAGACCAGGAGAGAAGGTTTGTATTGTTAGTTTCAGTAATGTACATGTGGGGATTTATTACCTGGTGGGCAACACCTGATATGCAGTTCCTTGTATAAGGGAGTCACAGAATGCCCTTCTCCCCTCAAGGCTTCAGATTGCCTGAGTAGCACCATGGAGCAGAGTTCTTGAGTGTTTAATAGTCTCTTATGTGATCACATTCCCTTACCTTTAATGGAACCCAGTGGTTTATCACTATTCACAAGATCCTGTTACTGGTATCTATCTTGAGTTGTATAAATCCAGTCCACAGTCTCCCATTCTTTAAGATCCATATTAATATTATCCTTTGTAGGTCTTCCAGTGTGCTATCCATTGCAGTTTCCGAACTAAATTTTTGCATGCATTTCTTATTAAGCATGTGCTGCATATGCCCCCTGCATCTCTTTTCTTTTGTGGTTTACTTCATGACACTCTGAGTGTCCAGGCTAAATGGTATCGGGTGATAGAATGCTGAACAACGAAATGGGAGGAAGTGATTATACAGTCAACTCTCGATTATCCGGGGGCAGATTAACCGGTTTGCGGCTTAACCAGGGCTACTGAGGCTTTTTTGAGGCTTATATGTTGTTTACTATTCATTCACTTTTGTTTCACATGGTGAGTTGTAACACTATCTTCGCCCTAGTTTTGCACTAGTGTGAACCGAGCTCTGCATTCTTTGGTCCCGTTATTCTAACACAATGTTCTAGGGTAGGGGTGAAAGAATGCAAGGATTTGTGGAAAGTTTCAAGGACAGATACATCGCCTCAGTTAGTATCTTTGTATCGATCTTCAAGTGCGTTAGCAAAATCTCAGGGTGTAAAAGAAAGCATGTTGTGTTAAGTATTCAACAGTAACTCGTGTGAGCCGGGCTTTGAAATGTTAAGCAGTGACGAAATCGTAAGTTAAATGGGGGTGCAGTCAGAAGAGTGGGAAGAAAGTGAGAATGAGGAAGAGGTGGACAGTGCTGCTAGTAAGAAAGTATCACATGGTGCTGCTCTTAATCATTTGGAATCCTTACTAGACTATTTTGAGAGTGAAGAGAACAGTTTATTAAGTGACAAGCTAATATTACATAAGTTTCGTGCGGATATCCTTAAAGAGGGAAATGCCGTGAAAAAGCAAACGACAGTATTAATTTTTTTTAAGTGTTAAGTGTGAATATTCGTAAAAAGTGTTGGATGTTGTTGAACACTGTGATTGAAATAACTAATTCATACTTCAGTGTAATGTAAAAAAAGTATTAAATAGGCCATGAGATGACATAAAAATGAGGTTGAGTAAATTTAAATACAGGTAGGCCTATAGTATTATGAAGGTACAGTATTACAGTACTACTTTTAATAACATTTGTCTTAACTGGGTTTTCGATTAATCGTGATTTCCATGCCCACCCATTATCCCAGATAATCGAGAGTTGACTGTAGTTAAATTGGGGTACTATCTTTACATATGTCTAGAGAGACTGAGGAAAACCATGAAAAAGTGTCAGTCCAACTAGCTGATGCACCAGCCAAGTTTTGAACTGAGTACCTTCCATATATGAATGTAAAGTGTTGCCACTGTGCCGACCTGCTCTACCACATCTGTGTCATCCTCGAAATGGCTGTAAGTCACACAGCTTATTGTCATGTAACCTTGCAGTTGCCTCTCATTTCCATCTCCGAAGGCCCAGTATGTTCCATGGCATCCCTCAATCAGTGGCTATCCCTTAATGCTAGGGTCCAGTTTTGCAGCCAGTATCATGTGTCTAACACTGTAGAATGTACTAAATTATTTTAATGGGGAGTTGTCGTTAGCCCCACCCACCCATCTCCAAGGTTAAAGACCATCCCTTGTAGGATTCTGTGACTTCATATTTGATATACAGTAACACCTCACTAATCCGGAGTAACAGATGAGAGGTAATCTGGATTAGTGAAGCAAGACAAAAAACTTAAATTACAAATAACTTTAAAATTTAATGATATAAGTAGTGCAGATGAAAATAAATAAAAAAATCACTGTAGAGCCTTTATTTGAAAACTACGAACAGATAATACATTTGAAGAAAGCAGTCTTCTGGGATTTGGCACCGTGTATATGTGGTGTTAACCGACGTTTCGGAGGAACGTATCGCCTCCATCTTCAGGGTAGAAGAAAAAATATAAGAAATCTGCAAGCGAAGAGACCGTGAGAACCAGTAAAAGCAGACTGTGTTGGAAATATACACAGCTACATGAGCAGAAACGTCGGTTAACACCACATATACACGGTGCCAAATCCCAGAAGACTGCTTTCTTCATGGTCACCGCCATGAAAGCCTCAAATCTTACTTAGATAATACACTTATTCATCGATGGAAGACTTAAAAGGTGTACTTGTGTTTTAATGTAATAATGCAGGTTTGAAGAAACTGTTAAGTTATGTCTGAACAGACAATTGTGTAATCTGCCTTCGTAAATGCCATGTGTCTTCTTAAGTATGTACTCAACTGTGAACAGCATTTATCATATTTCAGTCTCGATTATCCGACATCCGGATTAGTTGTAACTGGATTAGTGATGGTTTAGGGTATTCCTGGCTGCCCTCCATATGTGGAGGCAGTCTTAGAGATCCGTAACCTGAGAATAAATTATGCGTGGTACACCACAGTTGTGTCCCTCTTTCAGACATTCTTCTGCAATTACAGAGGCCAGAAATGTTTAATAGAACCTAACATAAAGCCACTTGCCACAGTAGGAAGATGGGCATGATTATGCACATGACTTGTATGTGTCCTGATAAATTATGCATTTTTGTGAAAGTTCATGGGACTTCTTCCTACCTTTATGCATACGTATATCTGGATATTCTATCACTAATTATAACCAAAGTTTTTGTGAACTTCTAATGTAGAGTGATGGTAGTGCTGTGTGGAAAAACACCCCATAGCTTAATGATCTTTGAAACATAACCATCTTTTTTTAGCATAATTTTTGGTATTTATGTGTTAATAGGGGACCCACATAACTGTAAAATTTACCACTGTATTGTCTGCCATGGTAGTGCATTTCTCTTCAGTTTATATCATGATTGCTTCACTTAACGGAAGTTTGCTCATGAGCTGACCCCTAAATGGCAGTAAAAGAGAGCAAATTTCCAGCGTACCTTCCTACAAGCCACTGTGATAACCTGCCAGAAAATGCAGCCACTGATGTATAGTAGCTTCATTAAGTGCTTGCACTTGAGTTCACTTTGCAGAATATCATGTATTCAAGGAAAATTGAAGCCCTCCTCTTCACATCTCACAGAATCTACAGATTTATCATTTCCAGTCAAATTCATAATGTGAGATTCTCCTACATCAGACTGTCAGCTTCATGTTCACTTGCATTGTAGGAAGTTTCTAAGAAAATTGAGTAGGCCAAGCCATAGCTCAATCGGTTAGTCGCTGGCTTCCCACTGCAGTGGCCTGGGTTCGATCCCGGATCTGGTTAAGTGGGATTTGTGGTAGACAAATTGGCGCTGGGGCAGGTTTTCTCCGAGTACTTTGGTTTCCCCTGCCAATCTTCATTCCACCAATTGCTCCACAATCACCCTCACCTGGGGCTGGTACAATAGGCCAGAAGTGGCCGCAGTACAAGGGACTTAGTCCCACCTACTAGCAATAAAAAAAAAGTTAATTGGGTCCCCAATTATTATGGGCAAGGAGCATGTGGTAGCATAGTTGGTTGAGGCACTATACTACTAGCTGGAAAGTTGCAGATTTGAGCCCTGATGAGGTACATTTTTCAATTTACCTAATCCTTCCAGCCTGGGGTCAACTCAGCCTCTTAACAGAAATGAGTACCAGGAATTTTCCTGGGGGGTAAAGGGTTGTCAGTGCGTAAGGCTGACAACGTTACCACTATCTGTGAGCCGATTGTCTAGAGAAAATGTGGAGCCTCCATCTCGCACAACCCTGTGGGCCTACACAGCCTGTTAGAGGGATAGCTTTACCTTTTAGTATGGACATACCCGGTGTTGTGCAGAATTTGAAATAACTGTTCTCCCCAAATTTCTTTCTTAACGCAGTTATTTTCTTTGTACTTATATATTGTGGTGAATCCATTCTGAGAAGTGAAGTGCTAAAAAATGTCACTTTTTGGCAACATTTAATTGAATTTCTGGGCAGAGGATCAACTTGCATTTCCATAATTGTTAGATCATAGATAGAAGGTATTTTTTCCTCACTTAGCTGGCGGTTTCTTAGTCAGATATCCTTATAGGTGGGCATTGTGGGTCGCACTGGAGCAGGCAAATCTTCTCTCATCGCAGCTCTGTTCCGTCTGGTGGACGTTTCGAGTGGTCGTATCCAAATTGATGGCATAGACATTGCCTCAATAGGTCTCCATGACCTGCGCTCCAAGATCTCCATCATCCCACAGGAGTCTGTGTTGTTCTCTGGCTCACTGAGAGAGAACCTGGACCCATTCAGCGAGTACTCAGATGCTGCATTGTGGGCTGCGTTAGCTGAGGTGGAGCTGAAGCAGGTTGTAGGTGAGCTGCCTGCTGGACTGAGCCACAGAGTGTCAGAGGGTGGCTCCAACTTCAGTGTGGGACAGCGCCAGCTCCTGTGTCTGGCCCGCGCCATCATCAGGAACAACAAGATCCTGGTGCTGGATGAGGCCACAGCCAATGTGGACCCACAGTGAGTGATCCCTTGAAGTTGTTCTTTCGATTGCTGTTTGTGACTACTGGCTTTGTAGGAAAAATGAAGTCGCTAGTACCATGTGATGAATTTGGAATGCTATGACATTTAATGAATCTTTGGATGAATGGCTTTCCTTTCATGAAATGGGGTTGTGGAGAGCTGGGTCAGGAAACTCTCATCTTATGAGACTTCCTGTATATAATTAAGGCAAAATAATTTCTTTACACATATACGAGGGGGGACCCAAAAATAACCTGAAACGACCTGTTGCACGTGCATGCTTTGTAGTTACGAGTTGTGCTGCTAGGTGGTGTTAGCTGGGGGTCTCCCGCGACTGTTAGTGAGCTGGCGTCAGTCTGAGTTAAGTGGTTTGTCTGTGGTGCTCTGTTGTGTGCGTTCCTGTTTCAACCCTTTGGCGATTAGTGAGATGGCCGACCAGAAGGAACAAAGAGTGTGCGTGAAATTTTGCTTTCTGTTAGGGAAAACTGCAGCCGAGACTGTTGGGATGCTTCGGCAAGCCTTTAATGATGATGCTTTGGGGAAATCACAGGTCTACGAGTGGTTTTCCCGTTTCAAATCTGGCAACATGTCAACAGAAGACATGCCACGCCCCGGGCGTCCTTCGACAGGAAGAAATGACGAAAACATTGCCAAAATCAAACGTGCAATTGATGAAGATCGTCGAAAGACCATTGACCAACTTTCTGAGGAAACGAACATCTCATGGAGCACGGTCCAGCGAATTTTAACCGAAGGTTTGCACATGAGACGGGTGTCTGCAAAATTTGTTCCTCGCTTGCTCGGAGATGACCAAAGAGAAAACCGCGTGAATGTTTGCCGCGACTTGAAGAGTGAAGTGCAGTTTTCCCTAACAGAAAGCAAAATTTCACGCACACTCTTTGTTCCTTCTGGTCGGCCATCTCACTAATCGCCAAAGGGTTGAAACAGGAACGCACACAACAGAGCACCACAGACAAACCACTTAACTCAGACTGACGCCAGCTCACTAACAGTCGCGGGAGACCCCCAGCTAACACCACCTAGCAGCACAACTCGTAACTACAAAGAATGCGCGTGCAACAGGTCGTTTCCGGTTATTTTTGGGTCCCCCTTCGTAGTTAGGGAAACAGTTTGTCTTGGTCATCAGGAGTTGTTGTGATGGGAGAATCAGTTATTCATTATATACATTCCATCCTCCAACAAACAGAAGGTAAGGCAGTTAACTAAGGCCTCCCTCTTCCCCACATGTACACTGCAAACTGAAGACATCAGCATAATTTGCATTTAGTTGCAGAAGCTCAGTATCTCTATTAGTGAACAGTGCAATAATCAACGTCAGTGAATTATATTCACTTCTTGTTCTTGCTTCACATTCTTTTAATTGGAGGATAGCACATTCATCCATGCACTTTCATACTGTGAGCTAACTAGAAGACTTAATATGGTGCCTCTCCCTGTAGGACTGATGAGTTGATCCAAGAAACAATCTGTCACAAGTTCACTGACTGCACAGTGCTGACAATTGCCCATCGTTTGCACACTGTCATGGACAGCGATCGTATCCTTGTCATGGATGCTGGATCTGTTGTGGTAAGTCTTTGTGTTTCTTCCTTAATTTTCCTCATATACGAGTATTATGTTGGACTTGTTAGGTAAATAAATTTTCATCCATGATTTATTCTGACCGTCTTACAGTGCATACATTTATTCACCTTACTCTTCTCTCTTGCACTACATGTTTCGGCACTAAAGTGCCATCTTCAGGTGCTTTTCGATGTACGTTGAACTACTGCATTGCATGCTCTGTTGTCTTTATACTAAAATAACTAAAATATATATTCATCATATATATTGCTAAATTTTAAATGTTAAAAATGTTAAAACTGTTCAGGATTTGTCGTCCTTATGTCGTATTTCAGTACGCGAGTCACACCTATCTTCTTCTGTCGGAGTATTCTTCCTACTTTCATGTGTAATGTGCTTTGTGTTGTGTCTTACTCCTGTGACTGCGTGTGTTATACTGCAGTATAATTTTAACTTGCAGGAATTTGACCATCCACATGCGCTGCTGAAGAATGAGAATGGCTACCTGTACCAGATGGTGCAGCAGACTGGACATCCCATGGCAGAGTCACTACTGAAGGTTGCACATGAGGTATATTGTAGAGCTATGTGTTGATGGTGCCTGTTAGGTATTTGTTAAATTGGAAAAATAAGGTAAGGATCATTGTTCCAGGAAGTTTTGTACAGTAGTGCCACAGTATAATGAGTATCATCATTATGATGAGAAGAAACATTGGTGCCATCAGTATGTTATGTTACATATATGGAAAAAGTCTCATGTGAAACAAGGACATTGATTCCAGAACCTCCTAGCCAGTTGCAGCATATTCTGAAACTCTTTGCAAAGATCATCTTTAAAGGTTCAGTGAAACGACACCCTGCATCACTCCAGTGTCTGGGGCAGAAAAGATTGCACTCCAAAATCTGAACATCCAAATAAAGACATTTTGTCACTATGAGGCAGAAGTGCTTAGTGTGCAGAAATATTCTGCAAATATTGACCAGCACTTTATCTTTTTACAGAAAGAATGTACATCCCAGAATCACTGAACTCTTGCTCATTTCAAAATATTCTCCACTTACTCTGACACATGTTTTACATCATCATGGCAAGTTACTGATCCCAGCAGCATAAAAGGTTTTATTGTGACTGTCTAGGCAGTTCAGGACACCATATTCTGGTTCAGCAGGTCAAAATTCCCAGGTTCACCTTTGTTGGCTCAAATGATTCAGGATCACAGGATGCTAACTCAGGGCTCTAAGGAGGATGGTGCATGATATTGTAGCTCATTTTTGCCAGTAGTGCCATTGTTAAATGTGTCGTACTTGGACAAGCATTAGAATGTGTCAGGATGATGATCATTCACAGTTTCCCAGGTCTCCTGAATCACTTAATGCACATCGTTGCGAAGCAAGTTATTCTGATACTGTGTAGCAAGTGTAAGACTGTCGAAGAAAATCATCATGAATCACCCTCTCTGAAAGACAAACACATGTGATGTGATCTTGCTCTGAATTTGTTGTGTAGTGGAGATCCCTTGTGATGCCTTTCCGTACTGGACTGCCTTGACTCTGGGGTGAAGTTTACATTATCCTTGCTGTTTTATTATGACATTACAGATTATAGGATAAATGTTGGTTGTTTAGTATATTTCATTGAAATGCCTGTCGAGTCCAAATCCTGTGCATATTTTGTTATGTGTAAAGCTTGTAAGTGTTCCTGCTGTCTGTTTCAGAGTTATGGAAAAAGGATGTCCAAGAAAGTGTAAGGTGGAAATTGGCACATATCAAGTTCCTTTTTCAAGATGTGAAACAGTATTATATACAAACATCTCAATCCTTGGAGGGATAGAATCATCTTGGTGAATTTTGAAGAGAAAAAGATGTCACCCAGTGATGCATCAGCTGTAAAACTTGGAAGAATATATTTTTGCTTTTTTTCTAGTAATATGGTTAATTTTTTAATGTACAAGTTCTTGTGATTACGGTGATGTACCTTCAGATTCCATGAAATGGAGGGAATTTGTTGACTAGCTGAACAACTCTTAGCCTCTCAAAATTGACTCTTTTCCATGACTTAGTTACATTTCACAGGTTTGTTATTAAGGTAATATGTTTATTTTCCCAGAGTGAGACAGGAACACAAGCAGCTGTGAACCATTACTTCTCTTTTTAATCCCTTTCACACCCAGGGCATCAGGAAGAAGCCTGCCTTCCCTCTTCATTATTGTCTTCTCTGTACTTCTGTTTATTCTTGGTCTCTTTATCCTCCATATTCACATTTATCTTAAATTCCTTTCTATCCTTTTCCTCCACCATCTTCTCCTCTTCCATCCCTCTTTTTTCTGTCTTCTTGTTTCACCCTTCTCAGTGTCCTTACCCACACATTTATGCATTCAGGGTCTGCAAGGGTTCACCCAGTGTATTAGAGCCACCCAGTTATGGGAGAGTTCTGAATCCTGACTTATGTTCATGGGACAGAAGTCATTGAACTGAGAGAGAATCTTGTATGCACAGTGTACCAGGGCATCTATAAATGTGAGCGAATTCAATAGTATGTATGTATGTATGTATGTATGTATGTTTTGTCTGTAAATTCATAGAGAGGTCATATTGGTAAGAATTACCATTGTCTGATATGTGACGTCATGTAGTATGGTAGAAAGCAACTTTTGGAGGAGATGCTTCCATCTTTTGCCTTGAGGTTGCAGGCAGCATGTTGCTCTGAAACATTGATAACTTACTGTTGGATCTCATGGTGTCACATCACAGAAGATGGTGTTCACTACTGTGAGAATCTGAAGTCTCTTGCAGATTGTATTGTAAAGAATCACATGCACAGTAGAATCACCTTAAGAAGTTCTTCAAGTGAGTTTTGAACTTCCAGGAATTTAAAAGTAAGAATATATTTTAAAGTTATGCACTTCACATGCGTTGAAGCTAAAACTTATGAATCTATTTTATACTGCGATCCCTCCTTGGTGTGGGCTGACCTTGTTCTGTAAGTGCACTTAGCAGCCATCATTTATCTTTCCTCTTATCATTTGCTGCCATAATTTTGAGTGCAAGAATCTCACCACTGCGCCTTCTAGTTAGTATAAAACAAATTCCAGAACTTGAGCAGGATAATCTCTGAGACCTTGATGTGTGCTATGTCCAGCTCTACCACATTTCACGCTTAGATTTTGCTTGTGATCCTGTGTTCTACAGATGGCAACCGTATGCTCTCCATTTTATTTTTGGATTTGCACTAAAGGAGATCCAACACCAAGATAATTGCAGCAGCATAAACTCATTGCAATTAGTATGTACGAGCTGCTTAGGCAGGCAGATAAGAAGCCTTCAGGGATTAAGGACTGAGAAAGTTAGGGGATTGTTGTTGGAATCAAATGTGTACAGCATTGAGAAAACCATTTTAAACAGAAACTTGCCAATTTGGATTCAGTTTAGATAAGTACAAAGCATGTGAGGTACAGAGAATTTTTTACTCTAGAGATGTCCCAACTTACTCAAAGTAACCATCTACTGGGATGTGATGCCATGTAATATAGCAGAAGTTTGCTGATGTCTTTGTTGGATGTACAGTGGAGACAGCATGTCCTTTCAATGTTTGTGGATGTCTAGTAGATTGCGCGACCTTGCTTCACAGAAGACAGCTGGTTTTATAATCACTGCCATTAGAACCTCAAGTTTCCCTTCCTGTGTATTGTTACTTTGAGAGGCATTAGAATAGATGCAGCAGACTGTAAACAGAAGTTCAGCAGCACTCGGACATGTTGCTAGTAAGACAATAAGTGTTGGAGATAATTGTATCATTATTGTAAGATGTACTGACAAGTAATGTGAGTGATGGTCTACAAAGGAGAAATTAAAGAACTATTTTATTCTACACTGCACCAGTGTGAAAGACACACTGCTCGTAATTTTTAGGGCAGTTTTCAAGGAAAAACATATGTCTTTCACACTGGAAAATGTAACTTTGGTACTGTTTATTTTATATTACCTACTGTATATCATTTGCATTCTGTTCGTTGTTTATTTTTATTTTGTAGTTAATTCTATTTGAAGCTATAATTCTTTTAGAATTGATTGGTTTGTCCTTGGACCAGAGTTCTGCAATGAATGCATTTGTTCTGCAGTAGAATTTCGCCTTTTTCCATGAACATTACAGATTCAGTAAAGTACTATGTACTTTTCGGAGTGATATCCCTTTTCCCAGTTGGAAGATCCCTTCAAACCCCATTGCAACGTCTGTCTTGCCTTCCTCATGTTATCACAGAGTAGGTAATTTAATGGCTGTACTGTAAAGCTGTCCCTGTAACAGGCCATGGAGGCCCATAGTGTTATGAAATGTCAAGGCTCCCACATTTACGAGACAGATGGCAGTGAGGTTGTCAGCCTTACATGCTGGTTGTCCTTTACCCCCAGGAAGATTCCTGGTACTCATTTCTATTAAAGGCTCAGTTGACCCAGGGCCATAATGCAGCTGGAAGGATCAAGTCAATTGAAAAATCCTGTGTGGGAATTGAACAAGCGATCTGGCTTATAGCATGGTGCCTCAACCAACTACAGTATTGCATACACTAATTTTAATGGCTGTACCAGCTTAAAATTCTCATATCAGGATCTTCATCCGCCTACATTTTGCCGGGTAGTTTCTTAATGCACCCTGCCATACCTATTCTATCCACACTGCCTTTCTATTGTTTCTTGCATGTAGTAATTCCTTCGATTATATTGTCCTGTATACTTTTCTATCTGACCATATAAATCCATGTAAGAGGCTTCTTTTCAAAATTCATCAGATTGAGTTCCTGGCTACACATCCAGAGGTTCTGGGTTCGATTCCCGGCGCTACCAGATTTTCTGATTAGTAATGGATCTGGAACGGGGTCCACTCAGCCTCATGAGGATAATTGAGGAGCTATTTCAAGGAAATAGCAACACCGGTCTAGAAAACCGAGATTAACGGCCATGGGGATCCGTTGCACTGACCACATGACACCCTCTATCTGCTAAAGTTGGCACTAACCTCGCTGACAAACGGCGGCCCCTTGGTCAGTATAGTTCGCTTGTGGACCACAGTCCACAGAGTTTTTTTTATGTATTGTCCTTTTCTTTCTCATCAGAAAAATAGTATCTAAGGTAATTAACACAGTTAATTGTAGCTTGTGACTGTTGTGGCTGCTGTTGACTTCAATCGAGGCAGTCAAGTAATTGAGCATGTAGTATGCCTGACATGTTCAGAATTCCTAGATTCCTAGAAAACGGCATTCTTCATAGTCGCCACCGTGAAAACCTCAAATCTGTACCCGGTTAATGTTATCAGAGAGGAAGGGTTCAGACTTGGAACAGGGCACCAACCCTCACCATCAAATTGTTAAGGTGTTCTGTCACACAGGCAGATGTTGAAAGGAACAGATGCCAAGAAGGCATGTAAAGCAATGAAGGACAGAAAGTAGTTGACAGGCAGGGGCTGTAAGGTGACACAGTGACACACCTGTCTCTTGTTGCACAGGGTTCTAGTCCCATCGATGTATGACTTATTTTATTTTTGTGACGCATTTATTTCTTGAATACTTTTTTTTTTTTGCATTAAATTATCACATATAACATCAAAGTTTTGCACCATTACTATGGTTTTAATTGTTGACTTACAAACCGTATTTCATACATAATTTGGAGGTATGTTTTTGATTTATCTGCATCAAATTTCACATGTCTCTCCCAGGTGGTTCATTGGTTATCAACATCAGATTGAAAACTGAATTATGTTTTAGCATGGACATTATTTTATCTTTGTCATGTTTTACAAAATATTACCTAAAGAAGATTACATGTTTCATGGACTTGTATTACCATATATCACTTTCAGGACCATAAATTAAGTTCTAATGTCACCAGCAATTTTGCACATTGTAGGAAATTTAAGAAGTATGATTCGTTGGCCTCCAATGATGTAATTTTAATATGAAGTTTTATGAAAATCAGTCATCTGGTTCAAATGCCGAAATGTGGAGGAGGAGGAGGCACACATATGTTATATGGTGATTTCATTAGCTTACTCTCTTTCCTTAGGAATGTAATGTAGGCTAAAATGGCTGTAGAATGTGAAATGAAGTGTGCTGAAGACATAAGTCGTAAGTAGGATGCTGTGGGCCCTGAAGGATGAAAATGTAACATTGGTAATTGTTGTAATTTGGTAGTTATGCTTTGAACTCGGTGAAATATACTGTGAAGCTAGGCAACTTGGTGTGAAAATATAATTATCTTCTCTTGTTATCCTCTGTTCACTTGAACAAGTAGTGTGTGAAGAGAGAAACATTATGCATATAGACATGGTTTGCTGCTTTGTATGTCTGCTGTCTGATTCTTATAATGTGGGGTGCAGTACCCATATTGTACAATGTGTCTTTGTGTGGCACCAGTTTTCCCTAGTAACTGATAAGATAAACTGATTTCATGACTAATAACTGCCTGTGCACATGCTTTAGAGGTAAAGTTTTTATTTTTGTATCAATGTGAAATTCATTCAAGGTTCATGTTTTATGCTGACCGTCTTACAGTGTATACACTTTTTCACCTTATTCTTCACTTCCACACTACATGTTTGAGCACTAATGTGCCATCTTCAGGTGTCTTTATGCACGTTAAACTATTGTACTGCATGCCATGATGTCTTCATTCTAAAATGACTAAAATCTGTATTCATCGAATAAGACGATGATTTCTATATAATAAAACTTTTCAGGATTCTTCCTACGTCACACTCAAACACGCGAATTACGCCAGTCCTCTTTTATGTGAGCATTCTTCCTGCATATGTTTGTGTATTGTGTTCTGTGTTGTGTTTTGCTCCTGTTACTGCATGCGTTGTACTGCTGGATCTGTGCTGACATCATGGCATGCAGTACAATAGTTTAACGTGCATAAAGACACCTGAAGATGGCACATTAGTGCTGAAACATGTAGTGTGGAAGTGAAGAATAAGGTGAAAAAGTGTATACACTGTAAGATGGTCAGCATAAACCATGGACATGAATCAGTGTAATAGGACGCTAAAATATAACATTGTCATTCAAGGTTGCTGTGTCACTTCTCTCATTCTAATATGCTTGTCTGTCTCAACAGATAACAGATCTTTCCAGCTGAAGTTCCCCTACAGGCGCCATTTACCAACTGGGGAGAAACAACGATGGACTTGGGCCTCAAGAAAGGTCATAAACCAAATCCCAGGGCATCTGCTAATCTGTTGTCACTTGCAACATTTTGGTAAGTTGCTGAGTTATGTAAATACAATGAATCTGCTATGTTATCCGAAGTCATTAATTTCAGTGTTAAATTTTCTCCATTTAAGATTTCCCTCAGTTTAGTATCATCACTATCCACTGCTGCCTAAAGAAACCTTAAATTGGGATTTCACTGTATGTGACTTCAAACAGTGCAAGTTTTGAGGATAAATATGTGGGAAGCTTGCGTTGTCACACTTGCTTGAATGTGGGCATGCATTTCCATGTATAGAATGTTATGAGGAGTGTACACTTACATGATAAAATACTGTCACTTATGTTTCTGGATGGTGGCACTGTACAGAAGAAGCCTGTGTTGCTATTTTGTGGATCCCTTCTTCATTCTTCAGGGTAAAGTAACTGAATACACATGTCCTTGCTGATATTTGCAGTGTGCATTCACCACTTGGGTGTTAGGCAGTAGCCAATAGGAAGAAAAGTTGACACCTTAAAAGGTATTTTTTTCTACGTTGGATGGGCTGTGTCCTAGGATTAGAATGCTTGAGAAACCTATGTGGAATGTGTGGGCCACTGGTGAGAGAAGAAGAAAGCAAGAAGAAATTCGCATTGGAGACACAGGATGAAATATGACTGGTGTGTACATCTTGGGCACTAACGCAGACCCTAAGTGTTATGAAAGGTTGATGTATTCTTCCATTCCTTTAGCATATGGGCTGGGTTAATCTGACAAACCCATTTTCTCTGTATCCTGGACAGTGGCAGATCTTGGGCTTGATGTTGTGTCCGAGGGTGCCTTTAACTGGGAGAATACTAGTGCAATGCATGAAATGCACTTATGTCTTGCTGTCTGGCCAAGGTTGACCCATGCCTCACATGCCCAGAAGTCTTCAGGATCCTGTGTGAATTACTGAAGGTGCACCAGAGAGGCTTCTGGCACTGCAATTCAGAATATTTAACAAACACACAACAGATAATGAGTCAAGACTGTTTGTTTAAATAATACCAGTAACCTCTAATTTATTCTGATATTTATGCCTAAATACTATGGCAATCTTTGGGCAAGATTCAGTCACAGTTACCTTTATCAGCACAGGAAGCAGTTCATAAATGGCATAAGCATGCCTGAATTTACTGCATACTCACAGTATTTCCATGTGGATGAATTTAGAAATTTTATGGCATATTTGTTACTTCAGAACCAAGTTTTTTCTTGTTCATTTTCATCATTCTTTATACTCTCATGTGGATATATGAATTGTTGAGCCATGTGATACTGTTGGTCATAGTGTGCTGCAAGCATATGTGGTAACAGAGCATTCAGAGAAGTCTCAGTGCTGGAGACAGGGAACTGTTTTTGCATGTAAGAGTCCTGTGTTCTGGGCTGTAACATCGTGTGGGCCATTCGAAGTTCAGTTGATGAATTAATGTCTGCCAGACTGCACAGCATCCCAGCCATCACTGTGAGAACATCATGTCCATTATGTTTATGTAATTGTTTTATATTTCTATGAAGGAACTAAATATATGATGACTGGTTGTTAATTTTTATGGCATTCAGTACAATATATATGTGTGTAAAATTAGTGGGCCGATATGACTTCATTACATTGACGGATTACAGAGCCTACTTTTCATAATGTCATATAGATGTGGAGTGGCACATTTCTAGTGCAAATGCACATATATGATATAGTTTCTAGAAAATTTATTGCTATCATGATGGCTTGTATTTGTAGGTGGGTCCTTGGTATATTCAAGTTAGGAGTCAAGAAGAATTTGGAAACAGAGGATTTATATGAGACGCTTGATGAACATCGATCAGAATTGTTGGGAAACAAACTAGAAGGGTGAGTTTACTTTGCAATGTCATCATGCATGTTATTGTCATGTGTTAGTGACCGGAAACGGGTTTGGATTGGTAATTGGATTTATTAAAACTTGTTAAGTCATAACTGGAAGTAATTATAATGCTCTCACAAATTTAACGCACTCTACTTCTAACTACATTGTGTGATAAGTCTTTTATGTCTTCACTAGCCATTGCCTGGGAATGGACCCTAACATTGTCCTCTTCAGCTTATGTCGTTGCTGGCCTTTGACCATCTCACAACTAACTCATAGCCATGACTAACAAATTTATCCTGTTGTTCTTTGTTAGCCTCAGGTTGGACAGCATGGAAAAGATTGCTTTCAGCAGCTCCTGTATTGTGTGACATGTCAGCTGGCTGTTGCCCAGTGATGGTTAGCTTGTTGAGCTAGCCATTACCATGCAACAGACGATCTCTCAGTTATCATGTCACATTATAGTTACCAGAGCTATTCCAGAGATGTCAGTTATGTATTATTGTATTCTCACCTCACAGACAATAGTCATTGGTCTTGATTTTTTTTATTGCTAGTGGGATGGGACTAAGTCTCTTGTACTGTGGTCACTTCTGGCCTATTGTACCATTCACTTGTCTGGATAGTAGGCTGGCTAGAATGGGAGCCAGTTCAGTGCTGCAAATTAACCTCTTGGAACTTGGTATGTGAAAGATAGGAGAGGACTGTTGTCACAAAGTAAGAAAAGAACATTTACTGTGGAAGTCATGTTTGTCATCTGTCTGTGACCTAGTATCAGTGTTTAATCCACTAGACAGATTTTCTCAGAATTTGAAATGGGTAACTTTGACTAAAAATTGTTGTGCAGTTCCAGTTATCAGCCATATTGGTTTGTGATTAAGCCTAATTTACTTGAGGCAATAAATGGAGTTTCCCACATATCCATTGCAATTTCACAGATCTAGTGGAAATTGATATGGAAGTCTTCGACCAAAGGTTGATGAGTAATAGTGATATCAACCATATTGATCTGTGATGAGGGCTGATTTATGTAAAGTCATAAATTGGATTTTACACATATCCCATAAACCATTTCACAGATTTTGCTGAAGTTCAGTGTGAGAGACTTTCACAAATATGCATTTTATTATTCCTGTTTTTGTATAGGCTTAAAAGCATATTGTGCTGTGAAGTGCACATTTTTTAATTTTCTCTCTGCAATTGCTTCTACAGGCTGTGGAATGAAGAGTTGCAGCAGGCAAAGGCACAACATGCAGGACCTAGTTTGCTTCGAGTATTGGTCAAGTGTTTTGGTGGTAGTGTCTTATGGCTTGGTCTGGCCATGGCTGTGTCAGAGTTCATGTTTCAGTAAGTATGAACACATGTAGCCATTGAGGCCGACTGACCTATAAACACACAAACATGGGGGGAAGGGGGGTGTAAATAGTGTTAAAAATTTGTGACATTTTTGTATAAAGTAAAGAATTCTGCTAGAGGCTGTGGAAGCAATGTGTAGATGTGTTTGTATGAATGCCATGGTCACACCCACTCTGTGCTGCTTCCACTGTATTGAAAGTTCTACTTTATCACCTTCCATACTCTCTTTTCCTTATTTATTTCATGTCAGGTTAATGTTTTGAGTAATTAGAATGGTTATGTAAGGTCTAGCAAACAAAAGAAAAACAAGAAAACTTTGAATTCAGTCAGAGGTTGATCAAGTTAAATATGTCGGAAAGAGTACAGTCTTGTGGGCTATGCTGTTGTGTAGTTTGGCAGAAATTTACTGATGTTCTGGAAAGTTTGCTGCTTGTATGCTTATTCTCTGACCTTGAAGATGGAGTCAGTATGTTTGCTGAAAATGTCAGTAAGCTCCTGGCATACTGAGAAGAGAGGGGAGAAGGGCTGATTGGTGGGTTCATGTTTGTGTTCATACCTAGAATGACTCAGCCAATCTTCCTGGGAGGCCTGATCCGCTACTTTTCACCAGGCAGCTCAGTGGATCGTGACACAGCCTATATGTATGCTGCTGGTGTCATCATCTGCTCCCTGTTCAACATATTCTGCAAGAACCCAATTTGGCTTGCTGTTTACCACATCGGTATGAAGATGCGTGTTGGTACTTGTTCCTTAATCTACAGAAAGGTAAGTTTGATATGAAAGTCACAAATCAAAATTATCCAGTACTTCTTACGGCTTATTTTGGACTTCACCCATCGTCTGGTATGTAAAAGACAAAAAGACAAAAAACCACTGGACCAGTGATTGAGACTAGCTCTTTCTAAGGGGCCCAACTGAGTAGGTTTATCCTTCCCTATCCACCTGAAGACGGAGACAGATCCAGTCTCCGAAACGTCGTGGTTTTTTTTTTTTTGTCTTTTACATACCAGACGATGGGTGAAGTCCAAAATAAGCCAAAAGAAGTACAATATAAACCATCGTCAGAATCCTTTCAAGTCTACCAAAATTATCCAGTTTGTTAGGTGTTGTCATCACTTGGTGGGGGTTTTCTGATTCACAGTATTGTACTTTCCATTGTGATGTCCACCAGCTCATTGTTACACTGCTTGATAACTCTGTTTATCCAGCCAATGCACATCAGTTTGGCATTCTTGTAAATTTATAAATAATTTGTACTTTGAGCTTGTCATCTTCAAGCTAAATTCGATTTGACACTGAACAAGATGACCTAGAGCTAACGTGGATTTGGGAGGTGCTTCGTTCAAATTCTGGCCAGGACACACTTCATCCTGATTGATGTCTTAGTGGTTTTGCTCAGCCCTCTAGGTAAATGCTGAGGTTGCACCTTGAATGGGCCACAACCACTTCCATATCTTTTCCAGTTCATTTTTCATCACCTTACTATCTGACACTGTATAGTCCAGATACTGACAGCATTGTTAAATAAACAACAAAATAATGTGACTTGGTTTAGGTAGTTCAGTTTTTGAAGAAATCGATGATTTATTTAGTTACAGTGGCATTGGGGTTTCAGATTTATTGACATCCGCCCTGATATTAATAGTCCACAGATCCAGTTGCTCACATTAAGATGTGTGACAGGAGAGCAGATCCCTGGCCACATGGATGGCACCAAGTAATGGAGACTGTCTTCATCTTGTTTCACAGTATCTTATTTGGTCACTATGATTACCTGTCCTAACGTTTCTGAAATATAATTTCTACAATTCCTGTTTCAGGCACTGAGACTGAGTAAGACAGCCCTGGGAGAAACAACTGTGGGCCAGGCAGTGAATCTCCTGTCAAATGATGTGGCCCGTTTTGACAGGACCTTTTTGGTAATGGCATTTCTAGTGATTGCTCCAGCAGAGACCATGATTATAGTATACCTGATGTGGGGCAAGATTGGCATCTCTGCAGTCATTGGAGTTGTTGGCATTCTGCTTGTCATTCCGGTACAAGGTACACATATGCATTAAGAAAATTAGATACAGGCTGGCTGTGCATGATGTTACTGTGTTGACTAGCGCATGGTCCAGTTTCCCATGTGTCACATCATTATGTCACTAGAATATCTCTTTTTTTAGAGCCAGCCTACAGCAATTGTTACACTTTGATTTTCTCCACTGCTAAGTGCTTTCCTGTTGTGTGTCACATACAAATATTGATTTTAGCAAAGTCACTGTTACCATGAAAGTATCAGGTTCCAGTCGCATCCAGTTCATTCCATCATCTGTAAGTATGCCATTTTCATTCGTCTGTGGTCTTGTCATCACTAAGATGGTGGTATCTGAAGAAGGCAGAAGGATGATGAAAATGAATAGAAGATGGGGAGTGGTGTTTAGGGAGTGAGAGGGAGACCACCACAAGAAATTTTGAACGCCCTGATCACCTGGGATCATTATGCTAGTGGGGAAGTTTATTATAGAAGGTTTGGGGGTGGACTGCCTTCAGAAACATTGAACTGCCTAATCTTGTTATGTTTGTGGGCAGTAGCCCAGTCTGAACATAATGTCATCTCTCCTTATAACAGAGCAGACTTACAGGACTGAGAAGCTCATGTTGCAGAATGAAACACTTTGATCTCTCAGGGAAAGTGAGCTTGATGAAGACACAATAGCAGAAAATGTTAACAGAATGGGCAGGGAAAAGCCAAGATTTAATTTGGCCAAGACTGCAACGTTTTTCATTGGAGACCTCAGTGAACTGGAAGTACAAAAGACACACCATGTGAACAAGGGCTACACCAATTAGACCATGTTTCAGTTTCACCGAGGTGATGAAACTGTTGGTGGTGGAGTCTGGCGTTTGCAGTGAGTGCAGGTGATATTTAGACAAATTTGATAGTGGAGACGGATTCTCATGACTTCTGATGTGACTGTACAGGAAATGCAGTGGGATGTGAGATCTCAGTTCTTCAACAGTTCTATGTCCTGAGGAGCACAGTCTTCTGTGTTGCAACACTCATAGTTCAGAGAGAGCTGTACTTTTTGGAGGAACATGTCACCTACATCTTCATGGTCGGAGAGTAATCTGAACTTGCTGTCCATTTCTGCTGGTTTCTTGCATGGCTTACTTTTCAGTCCTGAAGAAGGTGGCAGTATGTGCCCCCAAAACATTGGGCCATGTCTGAACTATGTAGCTTTACAGCCCAGACGACTGTATTGTTCATAGTCACCTCTGTGAGAAACTCAAACCCAGTATTTTTATGTCTCATTTTATGGAAAAGAAAAATGACCAGTTTCTTCATGTATTTTGATTTCTACATTAATTGAGTAGACAAGGCTGACAAGAAGTATGGCACACTGGAGTGTCATATCTCTCTGGTAAGCTGGATAAAGCATGAGGTGCATTTGACAGCAAATCCGAACTTTTAGAATTAGGTGAAGTTATTGTACTCTTCAAAAGGGAATTATCTTCAAGCGGAGCCTTCTGCAGATGTATGCATACACAAATTGACAGACTGTATTCTTCTGATCAAGATTACACACATTTTAAAAGTCTCAGAAATGATAGTATGTTGAAATGTAACTTCATTTTTGGTTCATGTAGATGTGATTGTTCCCTGTGGTTCTGTATGGGTGTCAAACTTGATCTGACATTAAGGCAGGAACATAGACTGATAGTGTTTGAGAACAGGCTGTTGAGGAGAATATTTGGACTGAAGAGAGATGAAGTGACAGGAGGTTGGAGAAAACTGCATAATGAGGAGCTTCGTAACTTATACTCTTCTCCAAGTATAATTAGAATGATCAAGTCAAGGAGGATGAGGTGGGCAGGGCATGTAGCGTGAATGGGGGAAATGAGGAGTGTGTATAGGATATTGGTGGGAAAGCCAGAAGGAAAGTGACCACTGGGAAGACCAAGGTGTAGGTGGGTGGACAATATTAAAATGAATCTTATTGAGGTAGGATGGAATGGTATGGATTGAATTGATGTGGCTCAGGATAGGGACCAGTGGAGGGCTCTTGTGAATGCGGTAATGAACCTTCAGGTTCCATAAAATGCTGGGAAATTCTCAAGTAGCTGCAGAATTGGCGGCTCCTCCAGAAGGGCTCAGCTCCATGAGTAATTAAGTAAGTAGATGTGTTTGTATGTCTTTCATTGAAGCTTTCTCAGACTGTCAAACCACTAAGTTGCTGCTTGTCCTCATGTAATGCAACTAGCCATGTCAGAATCCCCTGCTCAGTTTACATGTGAATTAACCCCACACAGATACTTTTAAGTGATGCTTGTTGAAATTGTATTCCTTGTTGTCACTGAAATTTTGAATTTCATTCTGTATCATGGATGGTTGGCACTTACACATCATGCCGGTGTGTGTTTATGATATTCTGATGATGGTATGTGTAAATCAGCTGTGCTTTCCTTTAACATGGTCACCGGAAGTAGGCCATCACTCATCAGTTCTTCACTTTGGTGATTTTGCACAGGAAGAGGCTCTTCTGTGTTATGACACTAATGTGGTAGGGGTATGCTGACACCTTGGAGGAACATATGCTTCCATCTTTAGGATAGTGTTGTAATCTTGTAGATGGGTACCAATTTTTCTGAGGTTCATAGAGCCTCCATCACTGGGTTGGACTGCATCATATTACAACACAATGTCACAATCCTGAAGCTCACAATATGAACATTGCACTTTAGTTGAGTATTGAACTAACATTTTTAACATTTTAGCTGGATTTGGGAAGATGATATCAACATTACGGATGCGCACAGCAAGAAGAACAGATGAACGCATCAGGTTCATGAACGAGATCATTGTTGGTATCCAGGTGATCAAGATGTATGCCTGGGAGAAGCCATTTGCACGTCTCATTGCTGTGGCCCGGAAGTGAGTTTCAGTGTGTATGTGCAGGGTGTGTCAACGAATCAGGTGATTTTGCAGCGGTGTTTTTTCCTGGATTGGTTGGAGTGGGGAGGATGCCACTACTGCCACCTAGCAGCCTCCTTCAAAGCGTTTTACTTTTAACACATGAATACAGCATAAATGTGAAAGCAATTGGTTTTTCTCAATTAACTCACTGAAAATAGAAGTCTATTTCTCAAAAAAAAAACATCCATCAAATGACAGCCATTCTGCTGTAGGCACTTGGTAAGTCTCTTCCTAAAGTCACTCATTACTCTTTGCAGCACATCTACGGGAATTCCTTCAACTTCCTCGTGAACACGATGTTTCAACTCCTGAACTGTGTGTGGTTCTGGAGCTTTGAAAACTTGGGATGACTTTGATGAATTTGTCCAGCTGCTTTTTCCATGTCAGTCCCTTGTCTAATACTAGACCAAAGTACTTTATATTGCTGGAGAGCTGGATCGTCTTATGGAAGAGGGTCGGTTCCTTAAGCCCCTTGATATTTCTCTTCCTGGTAAATGGTATAATTACCGTCTTATTGGGATTGATGGAAAGGCTTGTTCTTTCTCACCATCTTTGGACCGTGTACAGAGCTGTTTGAAGACACTCTGATTCTGTCGAAAGGAATTTTCTGTTTATGAGGATTTCTATGTCATCAGTATATCCTATTGTATAATACTCATCATCATGAAGTCCCCACAGGAGATTGTCAGTGACCAGGCTCCGCAGTATTAAAGGCTTTGAAAAATAAAACACCAGTTGGAGGCATTTTTTGTGACCTAAATAAAGCCTTTGACTGTGTTAAACATGATGTTCTATTATCTAAATTGAAGTTTTGTGGAATAGTAGGAAAAGCTAATGCGTTACTGGAATCCCACCTTCATGGTAGACATCAAAGAGTTGTAACTAATACGAGGTGCACTCACTAGAATTGGGGTAAGATTGTCAATGATGTTCCAGAGGGATCGATTTTAGGTCCCTTATTGTTTTTGCTATACATTAATGATCTGCCTAATATTATAAAGAGTAAATCAAAACATATTCTCTTCGTGGATGATACAAGTATTATTGTTATGAACTCTCATCGTATTGAGTATGAAAACAAACTAAATTTAATATTCAAAAATATAAATGAATGGTTCAAGGCTAACTTACTGGCATTAAATCTCAATAAAACGTATTTTATGCAATTCTCAAGTAAGAATAGTAATACATAGTAATAACCTGCATTATCCTTCATGTAACTTAACTCTCTTTCAAAACAGAACATATTATTTTGGAATTAAAATTTCTAATAAACTTCCTCCTAATATAAAAGACCAAGGTCATTAGATTAAAAAAACTTAGGTTTGCTGTTAAAAGATTCCTATTTTTAAATTCATTTTATTCACTTGACGAATATTACAACTGTGACAACAATTAAAGTTTTTGATTTTGATACGGGTGGTAGTTGATAGCGCTTTATTGTTATAAATGATTGTTTTTGTTCATTTGTGTATTGTTAATTTTTTATGTGACCAGCTGGTATGACATTACACAATTGTGATGCAGTATGTGATCATGTTTACTCATGTTGACTATTTCTGTATCCATTGGTGATTAACCATGTAAGGATTTATGGAATGCTGAATAAATGAATGAATGAATGAATGATATCCCCATATCTGGAGATAACATGGTTGGGAAAGAGGATATTCACAACTGCCATGGAAGCTCTTGCAGTATGGCACATAGCCCCATCTTGCTGGAAAAACGTTTCTTCATTGACTGGAAGATGAGCAAGTGCAGGAGCTAAGAAGCTCTCTAACATGTGAACATAATGTGGTCCAGTCACAGTTACAGCCCTTTCCCACTCATCTTCAAAGAAGTATGTATCTTCCAAATGAAGATATTACGCACCATACTATGACTTTGGAACTGTGAAGTGGTCTCTCATAAATTTCTTTGAGGTTTGTGTCTTACCAATAGAGGAAATTTTGCTTGTTAACAAACACTGATAAATGAAAATGAGGTTCATCGCTCATCAGTAAGTTGTTAATGACACCTTGGTTTTGATTGATTAATTAATTGCAAAAAAAAGTCTGGCAGAAATCAACTCTGTTTTCATAGTTGTGTTCATGTAGTGCATGAGTAATGTGAATTTTATAGGGGTAGAAGTGGAGATCTTTGTACAAAATCTGTCAAATGCCGGCTTCGGACAGTCCGAGTGATGTAGCACGACGACGCGAAGACTGGCGTGGACTTCATTCAATGGCTTCTCTCACTGTTGCTACATTCTCGGGTGTACGTACTGTTTTTACACTACCACCTTCTTCCTTAGTGTAGAACCAGTAACCTCAAAGTTCTGAACCCAGGTCTTGATGGCATGGGCAGATGGCACAGCATGATTGCGATGAATACCAAACTCTGTTCAAAATTCACGCTGAGCGATCATGAAACTGTCACTGTTTTTGTAAAATGCTTTCACAGCAAAAGCACCTTGTGCTCCTGTCCAAGGCTCCATTGTAACTAAAACGCTTTGAAGTAGGCTGCTGGGTGGCAGTAGTGGCATCCTCCCCACTCCAGCCAATCCAGGAAAAAACACCACTGCCAAATCGCCCAATTCATTGACGCACTCAGTATAATGTGACCTGGGCAGTAGAGTTGGTGGTGCTATACTGAAAGACTTCATAGTATGTGTCTGTCTGCAGGGGCCATACGTGCTGCCGTGCAAGTGGGAGCTCCAAGACGCCAATAAAGACACATATTTGCACATGTGACCCTCGAGAATAGTGAAGGGCCAGTGTCTTTGTTTTGTTGGCCTTCAAATAGTTTTAGTCCACTGTCCACTTAAAAATAACCATTGCTGCTGACATTTCAAATAATACAGGTGTGTGTGTGTGTGTGTGTGTGTGTATTTTTAGAAGTGGACAGAGACCAGGTCCCTTGGTGCTATGACTTCAAATGGGCCCATCACTTTTGGGCCAAAGTCTGTTTTAGGAGTGATGCAGTTGTGGAATGGTTATTAATAACAATTTTTTTTTTAATTTCCTGTACTTCTGCTGTTCAATCTTATTTTTCTCTCTCTTGCCTCCCCTCCATCTTACTGATCTTCTCATTTCTCTTTTTCTCCTGATGTCATTCTTCTTCCGTCATGTCCAGTTGTTCTACTTTGTACTCTGTTTCCTTTTCTTCTTAGTCATCTTCTTTGTGGAAGACATTGGTGGGGGAAAATATGTACCAGTTCCACATTGTCCACAGCAGATCCCACTTTTAAATGACAAGTAATTAACATAATGTTGGTACAAATGATTCATAGGGAATTTTGTTATTTTCAGGCATGAAATCAAGGCAGTCAGGGCTGCATGCTTTGTGCGTGGTTTGCTCTCCTCTTTTGGGAGGTGTGGAACTAAGATTGCTATATTTGCCAGCATAGTTACCTATGTTTGCTTTAATGATGATGTTACTGCGGAAAAGGTTAGTCTACGCGTTTGTTTATTTCAGCAACAAATAAGCATTATTTCCTCCCGAATTTGAAGTCAGAAACTGTGAGATAATTTTGCCTGTAAAAGCATCATTCTGTGTTCTGTTTAGTCAGATCTTGTGTTAAAAAAGATACACGTTCAGAGATTTGAGCAAGACTTATGTCAGATCTTGTTATTCTTCTGTTGTGAGAGCATGTTGGGTGTGCATGCATTTGTGGGGGCCGCATGTGTGCAAGACTGTGGTGTTAGAACCGAGATGACCAGAGTCTGAATTTACATTACGTCCAAAGTACCAGGTGATATAATAATCACTCTGCTATGTGTGAGGCATGTGCATGTGTATGTCCATATATATATGTGTGCATCTCACTAATCCAGTTAAAAATCAAGATAAAAATATGAAAAATGAAAAATTCTGTTCACATATGAGTACTCGCTTTAAAAGACACAAGATATTTAGGAGCAAGAGGACTTTCAGACTGTGTTGAGGACAGCTGGAGAGACTGAAACCAAGCAAGAAAATATCCAAGACTGGCTTGAGCTGGGTGAAGGAGAACCTGCATTTTAGCTTGTGACAGAAGAAAACTGCTGCAGTGATACCTTTTGATTTATTTTCGTCAGCACAACCTATGTTATTACATTTTCTATTTATTTGTTTTCTGAGTTTTTCTCTTTAGGGTCATCTTTTTCTTCATAAATCCAGATTAAGCTTAATCTCAATTACCTCTCCCTCCAGTTAATCTGGATTAGTGAGAGTTTACAGTATATGTGTAGTTCTGCACACATCCATGGAGATATGTGGCAGCATACTGATTGATTGTGTGACATTTGTTCCAGATGTTTGTAGTAACTGCATACTTCAATATTGTGAGAATTACAATGACTGAATTCTTCCCACTAGCAATAACAGAGCTTGCTGAGTCATCTGCATCTGTTCAGAGAATACAGGTGAGTTGTACAGTCTGTGGTGGATGTGACCGCTGTTCAGCCATGACTCTAATTGCAGGTGAGCCTGTATTCATACATCCTTGTGCTGAAAGAAGATCTCCATTTTAGTATAAGCATATGGCTGTATAAGGTAAGATGAATAGAACAGGACATGTAGCATGCATTGCAGAACCAAGAAATGCAAACCTGAATGGAGATGAAGAAAGCAGTCTTCTGGGATTTGGCACCGTGTATATGTGGTGTTAACCGACGTTTTGGAGGAACGTATCGCCTCCATCTTCAGTGTAGAAGGAAAAATATAAGAAATCCACAAGCAAAGAGACTGTGAGTCTGCTTTTACCGGTTCTCACGGTCTCTTCGCTTGTGGATTTCTTATATTTTTCCTTCTACCCTTAAAATGAAAGTGAGTCGTTCCTCCGAAACGTCGGTTAACACCACATATACACAGTGCCAAATCCCAGAAGACTGCTTTCTTCATAGTCACCGCCGTGAAAGCCTCAAATGTGAATGGAGATGTTTATGGAAGAGACCGTTTGTGAATCCTAGATATAGGTGGAAAGATAATATTAAGATGTTGGGTTTGAAGTTGTCACAGCAGTGACTACCTTCTGAGATATGCCATATAGTCTGCTAGAAGTTCACTGATATTTCACAGAAACATCTGCTGCCTTCTTCAGAGCTGAAATATAAGCAAACAAGTTTCCAGCAGGAAGCAGGATTGGCTTTGCTTTGTTTGCTGCTGGCTTCTTGCTTGCCATACTCTCTGACCCTGAAGATGGAGGCAATGTGTTCCTCTGAATGTCAGTGACCTACCAGGCTACATGGCCTAGAAAATATTTCTCTTCACTATCAAAGCAGCTGGGAAAATAGGGCATGATGTGACGAACTGGATTGAAATGATTCTGGGTTAGGTGCACCAAGTGAACTTCTGTGATGATAGTAACAGTGCTTGTGTGTCAGTGGAATAATTAGTGACTGTTCAAAGGAGGTTGTACTGTAGAGTTGCTATATGTACACTCCTGTGCAGTAATGCTTTGTTCTGTGTGGGTTGCATGGACATGGGCAAGAACTTGGTCTAATGGGAAATAGTGGGTGAGGGAAGTCAGCATCTGAAACATGTGTACAACAGCATTTTCACGGATGTAACAAGTAATTCTGGGAAGAGGCAGTTGCGTACTTTCCTTCATATATGACATGGATCGAATAGAAAATGTCATGTCCAACAGTTCTGTTGTTGCATGCATATTCACTGTGGCGGAAACATGTTTACCAAGCCATTATCAAGTAATAGTTGTCTCTTTTGGCACAATTATTGATCGGTCGGGGGCCACAAGAACACAGCAAGGTGATCTCAAAAGCCTCCCTTTGTTTTTAGCTTACTTTCCCTATTTTGAAAACACAGAAGGAAGCTTGTGACATCACCTTGCTGTCTGTGTGTGTCCCTGTGAAGAATGGTGCCAGAAGAGTAGCTGTTGTTAGGCAACAGCTCCATGGACACATTCGTTTGCTCTGTTTGTAATGGAAAGGGAAGCAGGTGATTACTTCTTTCCAGACCATGTTAAGAAAAGGATCACTGTCTTCAGACTATTTAGATTTTGGTCGTCTGGATAATAATGTTATGTAGCCTTGTACATGGTTACCAAAGTTTTGGAGGCATATCCAGTTTCCATCTCCAGGGTAAAAGTCTCACTTGAAGATGGGAGATGGAGATAGGAGATTATATTGTCCTAACCTAGAAGAACACAATAAAAAATTTTATTTGAATATCTCAGATGTCATCATAATTTTGTATATGTGTTTTGCCATAGAAATTTCTGTTGAATAATGAAGTTACAACTGCCAGCAGCCTTGACAAGAAAATAGAGAATGCTGCAGTGACATCTACTGATGATAACACACAGCATGAAAGCAGAGATGGCAGACAGATGATGAATAGCTCTCTGGATTCTAAGTTATCTGTGGATGCAAATAGAACAAAGTATGCAGGGGGGCACATTACAAATGAGAACACAGAATGTGATACGGCAAAAGGAGAAGCTATTAAAATTACCAATGTGACAGCCAAATGGACTGAGGACTTGCCTGAGAACACTCTGACAGATGTGAGTCTGGATGTGAGACCCGGAGAACTTGTGGCTGTTGTCGGACCCGTCGGCTCAGGGAAGGTGAGCTGCAGTTGTGTTGGAAGGTAGGGGATGGAATGAGCAGTGCTGGGGGCTTGGTACACAGGCTGATGTTATAAAGACTGTGTGCTACTGTTGCAGACATCACTGCTGCATGCCATCCTGAAGGAACTGCCCCTCAACAGTGGCTCCATCTCTGTGGGTGGATCAGTATCATATGCATCGCAGGAGCCCTGGCTGTTCACAGGCTCTGTACGGCAGAACATCCTGTTTGGGCAGCCCATGGACAGGAACCGGTACAGACAAGTGGTCAGAGTCTGTGCTCTTGAACGGGACTTCCAGCTGCTACCCCACAGTGACAGGACCATTGTGGGGGAGAGGGGTGTCACCCTGAGTGGTGGGCAGAGGGCGAGGATCAGTCTGGCAAGGTGAGGGTCCATGCTCTTGAATGAGAGTTCAAACTGCTGTCCCATGGTTACAGGACCATTGCGGGGCAGAGGGGTGTCACCCTGAGTAGTGGACAGAGGGCGAGGATCAACCAGGCAGGGTGAGTGTCTTAGCTCATGAACGGGACTTCCAGTTGCTGCCCCATGGTGACAGGATCATTGTGGGGGAGGGGGTTGTCGCTCTGAGTGTTGGGCAGAGGGTGAGGATCACCCTGGCAAGGTGAGTGTCTGTGCTCTTGAACAGGACTTCCAGTTGCTGCCCCATGGTGACAGGATCATTGTGGGGGAGGGGGTTGTCGCTCTGAGTGTTGGGCAGAGGGTGAGGATCACCCTGGCAAGGTGAGTGTCTGTGCTCTTGAACAGGACTTCCAGTTGCTGCCCCATGGTGACAGGATCATTGTGGGGGAGGGGGTTGTCGCTCTGAGTGTTGGGCAGAGGGTGAGGATCACCCTGGCAAGGTGAGTGTCTGTGCTCTTGAACAGGACTTCCAGTTGTTGCCCCATGGTGACAGGATCATTGTGGGGGGACGGGGTTGTCACTCTGAGTGGTGGACAGAGGGTGAGGATCAGCCTGGCAAGGTGAGTGTCTGTGCTCTTGAACAGGACTTGCAGTTGCTGCCCCACAGTGACAGGACCATTGTGGGGGGAGGGAAAGATGTCACTCTGAGTGGTGGTGAGACGATGACAATCTTGGAAGATGAGTTCTTTGAATTTTTTTTTCACAGCTAGTAAATGTGTGAAACCCAGAAGCATACTTGCGAAGATGACAAAGACTGCTAGTTATACTTGAATTTTTCCTCTCTCTCTCTCTCTCTGTGCAAGAAAGATAGAGACATTTCCAGATGTGAGCTTTTGTGGTTGTGTTTTTCCTCTGCCTTATGCAGTATATGAGGGGGTACCCAAAAGAAACCGAACTTATTTTTTTTAACTTATTTGTTCAAATTTAAGCACAAACCTTCAATCCCCTTCAAAGTACTCTCCACTTACACTAATACACTTGTCTAGTCTTTTATTCCATTTTTCAAAACATTGTCTAAATTCATCTTTTGAGATGCTTGACAGCGCCTCCGTTGTTTTTTCCTTTCATGTCTCTTTTTATTCGAGGAAACAAAAAAAGTCGCACAGGGCAAGGTCGGGTGAGTATGGAGGGTGAGGAACAGGGGTCATACCATTTTTGGTCAAGAATTGTCGTACAGACAGGGCTGTGTGAGTAGGGGCATTGCCATGATGGAGAAACCAGTCACCCGACTGTCACAAATCTGGTTGCTGAGCTCCAAGTCACTCCCGACAGCTCCATAATTTCTTCAATGGTCCGTCATCGATCTTTCTTGATGATATCACGAATTTTTTCAACATTTTCATGTGTTCGGGCCGTGGAAGGACGACCAGAACGAGGTTTGTCATCAATTGACATTTCGCCATTTTTGAAACGGGAAACCCTCTCAAACACTTGAGTTTTCCCCATAGCATCGTCCTTGTACGCCATTTTTAACATTTCAAGAGTTTCTGTTCCACTTTTCCCGAGCAAAAAGCAGAATTTCACCGCCGCACCCTGTTCACGAAAATCAGCCATTGCAAAAACGACGATCACACAAAACAGTTGTCACTATAAACTCTGCCGAAACTAGTCCTTACCTTCTGAAGCAACGGTAGTCGGCTTATTGACTCAGGAATGTTAGCTCTATGCGCTCATAGCGGCAAAACACGGTACTACAAAAGCTCTGCCCACAAAAAATTAGTTCTGTTTCTTTTGGGTACCCCATCGTATGGTATGATATTGAATTTGCTTCTTGTGCCTCAGTTCTCTATGGGTCTGTCATTTGAAACATGCAGTTTCAAACAGAAAATAACTTAGGCATGTCTTTTCAACCTTCATATCTCAAATTCAAGTGATATTGTACATAGGCCCATAGAGTAATTAGAGGCTCTGTACACTATTTCTGCCACAGTTGTCTCATGGCTGAAAACTGGCTGAAGTCAGTGGATTAAATCTCTAACACAGTGTTCTTCTGAAGGGAGGTAAAGTGGGGGGTCCTATGTCATATGTTTCAAGCATGTACAAGAACCTTTCATTCATGATGAGTGAAGGCCAAATCAGACACAATTTTTAGTCACCCATGAAGCTCTGTACTGTGCTTCTAGATGTCGCTTTGGTCAGGTGACTACAGAGACGTCTGGGAATGGGAACAACTTGAAAGCGCCCAATCCAGCCGAAGTGCACTGGGTAATGTAACTTACCCAAGTGGTGTGTGAATAGAAATATGAGTTACAAATACACCAAAGTTTAAAAAAATAAATGTTAAAGTACAGCATTAAAACCAACCAGCCATTTTCACTGATAAATTAACATTTCACCCAGTGTGACTTTGTTACTTTGCAGGTCGGACAGAAACAGTATATTTAAAAGTGATTATGTGAATGTGAAATTTGAAGTCACTTGTTTAACCTGTGAATTGGATTCCATAATCAGAAGATGTAATTTTTATTGAAGTCCATTTTGTTATTCAGAACAGTTTACAGAGAAGCTGATGTGTACTTGCTGGATGACCCACTGTCTGCTGTTGATGCTCATGTGGGACACTACCTGCTTGAGCACTGCATTTGTGAATTTCTAGAGGACAAGACTCGAGTTCTGATCACGCACCAACTTCATTATCTCCACATGGTCAAAAATATTCTCATCCTGGATCATGTGAGTGTCACTTATTATTGATCTGAGTAAATGAGTTATGCATTTTAGTGTCATGTGCAGGCTGTTGTTGGCAATTTGCTGACTGTTTGGTAATGTCCCATACATTTCCTAGTGTCCCAGTAGTTCTCAAGTGACACTAGTGGGGGTGGGGGGGGAAGAGTGTGAGACTTGATCCTCAGCTGTCTTTGTTTGGATTTTATCATGCTCACATCGTTATATGCCTGTTCTTGGATGAGCCCTGCAACACAAAGAATGCATCGTAAACTACAGCAGCACAACCAGAGAGATAAAAGTGCCTCCATCTGCATGTGTTTTCTTGATGGAGGATAAAGGCGGACGGAGCGTGAAGCTAGACTCTTTTCTGAGCATGTGCTCTATTATATGTGTTGGAATGAACTCATTTCCTGTGATTTCACTTTATGCTGCCATTTATAAGAATGCGTTAATTACAGATAAAGAAGGATACCTGTGTGTATTATATTGGTCCCCTCCCAAATAAATTGTGTTACCCAGTTACAGCCCTTCTTGATTCTCTTGGATTCTTCTGATGGCATGTTCTAAGAATGATGTTATAAATAAAAAGCAATTGAGGTAAAGCCTTCCTGTATTGTTGATAATCTTGAAGTGAATAATCATGATATGCGCAGTCATGCCACCAAGTTTCTTCAGTATTCTAAATTAAGTAGTACTTCTCTTTCAACTCTGTCATAGACATTTGTTGTTTATATGTAGCTTAATGCTCTTATGTTCATGTCTTCTTGCTAGAATGCAAAATGAAACAATAACATGTAAGTAGTTCCTTCAAAAAACAGTTAAAACATGGAACCAGCACTGACATACCTAAACTGCATTCATAAAGATGCTAAGAGCCTGGTGCCATACACTTTCAAACCTTTACTTTCCTGTCTAATATCCACAAGCATAACATTAATAATATTTTAGCATTTGTTTTATATGGGTGTGAAACTTGGTCTCTAATATTAAGGGAAGAATGTAGATTGAGGACATTTGAGAACTGGGTGCTGAGGAATATTTGGACCTAAGGGAGATGAAGTAACACAAGATGGGAGAAAATTACATAGTGAAGAGCTTCATAACTTGTACTTTTCTTCTTCTCATTCTCTTCTTCCAGCTACATTTCTCCTCCCTTCCACCTCTTCCTCCTTTCCCTTTAGGGGAGGGATGTTCTACTGTTAATACAGTCTGATTGGCTGCCATTTGTGATACATGGTTGTTCAAGTGTCTTTTTGAACACTGCACTGATGTCTGATGTCTTTTTGCTTCGTCAGCACTTTTTCCCATTATTTTTCTTAGGTCATTCATTTCAGCTATTTTGTTTTTGTGACATGTGTTCTTGCTTCAGCTGTGTAGGTGAAAATGGGCCTTGAAACACATTTATATATTCTTACTTTTGGTTCCATGCGTAAATATTAATTTTCATCTGGATATCCTGGTTGCGTTATTTGCCTGTTGTTGAATTTCTATCTGTTGGGCTCCACGACTTGTTATTTCAGCTCCTGTATATTTAGAACTCAATATTTGTCCAATAATTTGTTTTCAGCTTGCAGCATAATGGCCCTTTACTTATTGACTTAATTTTGGCCTTAGCTGTAGAAATTCCAAATCTCAGATCCCTGTAAATGAGCAGTAAAACTGACACAGCAGACTGTATGTCTTCTTCCCACTTTATATCCTTATCTTCTCTTTATGTTTGCTATAATTATATTCATCACCACATTAAAATTACATTTCAGTGTGTTTATACACTTCACCTGATAATATTTTGATGATAAATTCAAGGAAGATGAGATGGGTGGAGTATATAGCACACATTGGAAGTGTCAGAAATGCATTCACAAGTTTGGGTGGAAAACCTGACCCACTTGGATGACCTATGTATGGAACAAGATAATGTCAAATGGATCTTAATGGAAATAGGGTTGGATTGCAGGAACTGCAGTCTTCTGCTGCAGAACAGGAGCCAGTGGCAGACCCTCATGGGCAGGATTCATATAAGGTGATGAATTTGTTGAGTGATTGCTAGATTATTAATTGGTGGGTCAGTCGGTCAATTTGTCTGCCTGTGTGTGTGTCAGTCAGTTTTCTGGTGTATTTGTTTATTTGAAGAAAGCAGTCTTCTGGGATTTGGCACCGTGTATATGTGGTGTTAACCGACGTTTCGGAGGAACATATCGCCCCCATCTTCAGGGTAGAAGAAAAAGTATAAGAAATCTGCAAGCGACAACACCGTGAGAAACGGTAAAGCAGACTGCTTAACCTTTGTTGAACAAACTCCATGAAGTGAAGTCCTTCATGAGATACTAGTAATCATTCAGTTGTTCCAAAATTCCATACCCCTTATGAAACAAAGGTACAGTCATGTTGACAAGAACCAATTACTAGACTCTGTCCCCAACCAGAATAATCCAATGCACATTATTACACCTGATTTATTTTAAATTCCACTTTAATATTATCTTCCCCACTTGTTAGTGTTGCATTTGTATGTTGCAGGGCATGGTAAGAGCTGCAGGAACATTCAGTGAACTTCAGGGATCTGGTTTCAGCTTTGGCCTGGAAGCAGTGGAGGGTGAGGAACGTACTGTGATCAAGAAACTTGGACAGTCACCTGACCACCATGACTGTCAAGGTTCCAGCAATAAGTGGAAACGTCAGAACTCAGATTCTTCTCAGGTAGTGAGGAGAACATGCTCTTCCATCATTGTGACATTGCAATTAAATGTTAATAATGTCATGCTTGGATCACATTCACATCTCATGCTATGCACCATGAATTGATAGACTATATAATGAAGTTTGGAAATGTGTCAGCATCAGGGTGGGGCAGAGGAGCTCCGCAGGAGCTCAGTCTGTTAGGGGTTTGCCCTCATCCTGTTGGTCCCACCGCTTCCATAATCCAGAAGTTTTCCATTGCCTCCCCCCCCCCCCCCCCCTTNCCCATTGTACTCAACTTGTGTGCATGTGATTGCGTTGTCTGGAATGATGGTCTCAGCCCAGCCATAGTTGCTGTGTAAGCGTGAAACTACACCAAGACACTGCATGTGCTGATGCAGTGATAACCCTGACAGGATCACAAAGTAAGTCACACACAAAATAATTCTCCAGGTTTAGATTTCTACTTAGGCTTGCTGTCCCTTCAACCTGAGTATGCAAGGGGAATGATTGATGATCTCTGGGAAGGATATTCCCAGTGTCATGTACTTGGGAAATTTGGAAATTTGAAGAAAGAGAAACATCTTCTGAGGGTGAACAGTGTGGAGGAAGGAGGAGAGAGAGTTG